ATGTAGTGAAGGGTCACACCTGTTTGATCCCGAAGAAGTATTTTAATACTGTAACATAACAACGAAAATATGCATGCACTTTTTCTATTAGTATTCAGATACAGAGCAATATGTTCAACAAACCTTTTTCCCTTTTTCTTCCTGTGATAGCGTGAAAATAAGATGATTGTGTGATTGAAATAAATCGAAAAGATGATGTTACTGGATATCATAAAGTTGGTTACATCGATCGATATTATTACCGTGGCTGAACATATTTTGATAAATGTTACGAAGGTTTCTTTTGGAAAATTTATTTTCGTTTCATGAATGAAAATGGTCAGGTGATATAAAATTCGGATTTTTTAGTTTTTCTTGTGGAGAGACAACTTAGGTATTAAAAGTGAATGACTGAGGCGTTATATGGACTACCAGAATGAATGTACAAGCTTTTCGCAGAAGGTCGAGAAGATATGAATGACGACGCTCGTCCTGGACGCCACAGCACATCCACAACCGATGAACATGTTGAGAAAGTGAAGAAAATTTTTATGGATGATCGTTGAATCACTATTAGAGGAGTTGCTGGGGATGTCGGCATTCGGAAATTTTGGACATGGAACGCTCCAAAATTGCTGAAGTTTGACTAAAAAAACCGTTTCATGAGCATCGTTCAGAGATTATTGAATGACGTCAGCGGTGATTCAAATTTGCTTCAAAGGGCCATAGGCTAGGTCCAAAGTGAGTGATGGGCCTATTCTGGGCCCATCAAAGGTTTATTGTGGATCACACCTACTCACACTCGATCAAATAAACCCAGCTTCTTGACGAAGCCGATTAGTTTGTATGATGAGTGGCCTTTCAGGTCAGATATTAAGAGTACGGCTCTACCGAACTCTAAAAACCTGATTCGGTTCCAAGCGGGGCAGGCACAAAGTTTGTGCTTTGTTTTTTCATAATTTTCCAAACAGAAGCGACACACTTTGTCTTCCGACAGTCCGAGTCTTTGCATATGATGATTCAAATGACAGTGACCTGTAAGAAGGCCTGTTAGACATCGTAGTGCATCTCTACTGTAATCCAACAACTATTTGGTATCATGTTTCGAAAGGAGAATAAATGCCTTGGAGTGAGCCAATCGTGTTTAATCTTTTTCTGGCAAAGCCTAAAGCGATGTCAATGACAGGTTCTGGTCCGATGAAGCTGCTTGCAGCACCCTCCTTTGCAAGAGAGTCAGCAGTCTCATTGCTTCAGGCCAGTATAGCCAGGTATCTAGATCAGAGACAATATGTTAATTCATTCTATCAAGGAGATTCGTTTTTGGCAGTTTGCTACCAATTTACACGTTGCTCGGTGGGAGCCAAGAGCTTCCAACGCCGCTTGACTGTCCGAGAATATTTTCATTGACTTATGTATGAGGTTGGATTCTTTCAATCTCTCCGCACACAATTCAATAGCGTAAATTTCCGCTTGAAATACAGTCCCATAGATTCCTAGGCAGGTTGATATCTCTGTCCAGGATATGCCACTAAAAACACCTGCATCAGAACCTGAAGGTGTTTCTGATCCATCTGTGAACCAACAACTATCTGCGCCTAGTATTTTCTTTTCCCGAAGGATCCAATCCTCTCCACTAGGGAACAGTACTTTATAAGGCAGTTCGTAGTTGACAGTTGAAGGCATAAAGTCAGAGGTCATTTCCAGAATGGTGTGACTTCCAGTGTCAACCAGCAGTCTGTTGCAATTGGCAATGTGCAATTGGCAATGTGCAAAAGGTCATATGCAGTCCATCTAGCCTCTCTCTGCAGAAAAATGTGGAGAGGAGGTAGATCCAGCAGGATCTCCATGACCACTGACGGTGTGGTACTGATGGCATCACTGATGGCCGGACAAGCCTGTTTCTGTAAGCCAGAGACCTTCGCCTGGGCCGTTTTCTGTAAAGCATTCGGCATCATTGGTCAAAGGGCCATAACTGGTGACGAGTCATAGGTTTATGGTTATGACATCGAAACCAAAGTTCAATAGTCTCAATGGAAGAGCATAGGAGAGCCCAGATCTGAAAAAACATGCTAAGTTAGCAAATTTCAAGGTTTTGCTCACTGTTTCTTACGATAACAGTAGCGAAGTGCATCGGAAATATTTGCCATATGGTCGTACGGTCACTAGGAAGTATTATCTTGATGTTATGCGCCGCTTGCGAGAAGCAATACGAAGAAAACGTCTGGAATCGTGGAAAAATATATGATTTTGCATCACGATAATGCACCTGCTGACTCGTCATTGCTTGTTAGTAATTTTGTTACGAAAAACAACACCGTAGTCATGTATTAGCCAAAGTATTCACCAGATTTGGGGACCTCCTCCCAAGATTGAAGAGACATGAAAAAATTAAATGCAATTCTTGGAATCGCAGTCCGCGTTTGGTGGCCTAGTTTTCGTGAGGCTCCTACGGATAGCGTTACCGGATCTGAAGCAGGTTCTGATGTTGTACTTGGAACCAATTCTTCTTATCCTCTCCGATAATCCTCTGATGTAGAGAAGTGCAAGCACTGGTTATGACAGCTTCTCTTCCTTGTCAGGCTCCTGCTGTCTTTTAGCCAAGGTCTTTTCTACCATCGCTTTGGAGTAGGTAGCCATTCCATTGAAAATCATTTTTGATGATGTCTAGTTCCTTCTACAGGCTTTGCTATGTGTTATAGAGCGGTCTACAGATCGATCAACTAAAAGAGGAATCATCAAGACTCTATTAGACCGTGCTTTCGGGCTCTGTAACACGAAGGAAGATCTCGAGGAGGAACTAGACATCATCAAAAATGATCTTCAATGGAATGCTACTCCAAAGCGATGGTAGAAAAGACCTTGGCTAAAAGACAGCAGGAGCCTCGCAAGGAAGTGAAGCCGTCACAACCAGTGCTTGTACTTCTCTACATCAGAGGATTATCGGAGGGGATAAAAAAAATTGGTTCCAAGTACAACATCAGAACCTGCTTCAGATACGGTAACACTATCCGTAGCAGCCTCACGATAACCAGGCCACCAAACGCGAACTGCGATTCCAAGAATTGCATTTACCGGATACTCTGTGAGTGCGGAAAATCCTATACCTACTTATTGGTGAAACTAAGAGGCCATTGAATGTTCGCATTGCCAAGCACGAGAAACACACCCAGCGAGGGGAAACCAGCAAATCAGTAATAGCAGACCACGTTTGGACCCATCAACACAACATCGAGTGGTCTCAAGCTGAGATCTTGCACAGAGAGGAACATTGGTTTAAGAGAAAATTCAAGCAAGCCGCTTACATGTTGTCCAAAAACGTATTCAGCTAAGCCAGCGTAGAAATACGCAACATATGGAAACCCATCATCAAGCGAAAAATGGCCAACTCCCGCCAAACGGTATCTCCCACGGAACCAGTGAAGCGGAAAATGGAAAGCGGGGATAAGTGAAAGTACTCGAACGACCTATAAATAGTCATCTCTCGGAGGAATCGGTCCAGTCATCACCCAAAGACGATTGTAGATACTAACAATCGAAACGTCGTGAACTAACGTGACTTGGAATCTCTCAACTTTTTATTTTTATTTTCGTTTTTCGTTTCTTTATTTTTATTTATTTTTGTTCAATTGTTCTATTTTACTTGTATTTTATTTCACTATTATTTCATTTCAGGTTTATTTTGCTTAATATAATTGTTATTTTCAGCTACTCATTTTTAAATCTTCTTTTTTAGTTGATTCAGGGATTTCAAATCATTTTATATAGTAGACAATGGAAGTCCGAACTATTGAAAAGGTTTCCATGTTGGTGACTGAATTCATTGGCGTTAAAATAAAAACGTATAATCCGATCACTGCTTTTTTATAGTCACGGGCGATGCAGAAGATGTGATATAGATGACGTTACATTTTTCAATCAAAACCATTTTTGTTGCGGGTTGAAATGGATACTAACATGTCTTGGCACAATCATGTCGCTGGAATTGCAAAGGCTGCTTCTCAAAAGCTTGGAACACTGTTCCAAACTAGAAAACTGTACACACCTCAGCAACTTTTGATGCTTTATAAAGCTCAAATCAGGCCTATTTTCGAGTATTGTCCTCATGTATGTAGTTCTGCCCCCAAACATACCCTGAAGTTGCTGGATTCCATTCAGAAAATAGCTGCTCATCGTTTTGAGGTTCAACTCAGTACCCCTTGAACTGCACTGATTGAGAACAGGAAGTTTATTCACAGAACCTTTTTTCAAATGGATTTAATCTTCAGCGCTCAGGCACCGCTCTAAGAACGCCTTAACGATTTTTGTGTAGTGCTTGTGGTTTGCCCTTGAAGAAAAGTGGATACTCCAAACTTGAGAGGCTACGGCTCTCCATAACGGATAAAAACAGAATGCAAATTCTCATATTTTTCACGTTTTTCTTCGAGTCTATTATTACCCCAAAAAAAGTAGAGTGAGATTTTATCCATTATTTTACAAGAAATTCAATGAGATATCTGTCATGCATCAGAAATCTAATACTCTTTTTGATGCGTTTCACAAACCAAGGTGGTGTCATCCGGAGATGACTAGAAAAAAGTGTTACAGTGTTCTAGTTCCATACCTTCAAGTGGGGTTGAATTATTTACCACTGAGCTGAAATTCGCATTGTATGATAAAACCTGGTGATTCAATTGCAACTACCGATAGCTAACAGCAACTTACTCATCCTTCAATTTCATGTTTATGAAAGGTAAATCAGATGCGTGGAAAACTGCTCTCAATTCGCCGGTCTCTAGAATCATGATTTTTCCTCTACTGCTTCCCACAATCAGTCGGTCTTGAGACAACCAACAACAACTTGTGTAAATAACCGTATCTAGTTTGTTATAACCAAACTGCCTCCAAGTGAATTCTTGACATCCTAGACATCTCAGAACCGAATCGCCCACGACGGCTAATTGATTCGAATCGTTTGGGTTACACGCCACCTGAAACATTTTTATTCAACATTATGTTGGATAGAAGGTTTAGCGAATACAGCGAGAAATCATATACTGAAGGCGCGTTCTCACGAGTCGAGTTCAGTGAAAAACCTTTATTTCCATCGAGTGGATGAACAAAAATTTTNTTCTGAGCGCAACGGATAATGGCAATAGTGAGATGCAGAATAGAAGGGGACTGAGGGAATCACCCTGAAATACACCCCTTCTGAAAGTGACCCACCCTGTTTGGACTCTTGCTTGACCAGATGTTATGGTGAAGCGAGTTCGCCAAAGTGGTATCAGTTGTTCAATGCATCTCACTATTTTGTCGGGTACCGCAAGGCATCTCAGTAAATGCAAGATGATCTCATGCGAAATTGTACCAAATGCCTTAGGGTAATCGATCCAGGCCGTAGAGAGGTTACGCTTATATTGTATCGAGTCCTGCGTTACACATCTATCGATGAGCAGGTTCTCTTTAAATTCAGCGACTTCTCTCTTCGACCCTCTCTGCTTATATATCCGTTCGAACACTCGCGTCAATTGCGGTGAGTATTCGTATGTATGAGATGCTTGTAAACAACTTATAACACGAATTCAAGCATGTTATCGGTCTGTAATTTATAGGAATCGACAATTCTCCGCTTTTGGGGATAAGAACGGTCCGCCCCTCGACAAATCAATCCAGAATCGGCTGCTCTACGTCCAGCCATGAGTTGAAAACTCTTGGCCAGATGGCGGTGGGTGCTTGGTAGTTTTTTCCACCAATAAGTGTTCAGCTCATCTGGGCCTGGAGCAGCAAAGTTCTTGGAACCCACAAGGGCTCTTCGAACGTCATCCGGGGTTATCGGGTGGCGCAGTTCATTGAGCTCAGGCTCTCGAAGCTCTCTGTTGAAAGCTTCGAACTGCGCTAGGACTGGAGTGTCTAAGTTGAGTGGCTGCGGGTGTTCATAGATATCCTTCCAGAAGGATTCCACCTGATCAGCGGTCGGCGGATTATCCACAATACGTGGAAGCTCTTGGAATAGCGAGGTTTCTCGCGGAACCTAAGGTTTTCCGCGATACTGCTCGCTCGCCTCACTAGTGACTTCTTAGCAGCCACTAGCATTCGTATCCTATCAAGGCAGTGATGTTTGGTGGTCAGCAGCACGCCTTGACTCAAAGTGTGATGGATACGTCGTAGATTGGCTGCTATTCGCCGCTATGCGGGCGTAAAAGGCCTGTTGGCTGCCCTGTAATCCATCACACATTGGATACGAGACGCGTGTTGTCTCGTCGACGGGATTTTAGCCTCCATCTTGTGTACAAGCCGTTTAATCTCCTGAACAGCAAGGCCGGGATTTCGTCCTTTCGATTCGGAAAGCGATTGGACAACGCTATACACAGCTGTTTATTATTATAATTATTTTTATTATCAAATGCTTTACACAAATCTAAAGATTGTGGTATAATAGAACGCACTCTACTGACAGGTGTCACTTAACACAGTTGACACTTGACATTGAGGGTGGTGCTGAAATGAATGACAAATAAAATGGTGTACAGGACCACACGTCCAAGTCTTTAATTAATGTAAAATTTATTAATAGGCGCTGTTTCCTATTAGTCGTAAATTTCACTGAATGAACCTCGAAGCATTCCGATTAGGGTAGAACCCACAGACAATACAAAGACAGAGGAAATATTTTTCATTATTGTCAAATTCAGTTTGAATTTTTGAAATGACACCTATGTTGAGCAGTGAGGGAAATGTGAATACAACAACCACACTTGTTTGCTGTTCGATCTCGACTACACTTTATTTAAAAAAAACAGGAAGCGTACATTGTTGCCAATATAGCAGTTCAATATTGCCAATGACATAAATTATTACAGTTTGATGTCAGAAATCGACAATCTATTGCTGCTGCCTCTGTATCTCTAGACCTACGAAAACCATACCGATCACTTTATAAAGATCATTGTTTTTCAAATAATCGTTAAATTTTTTAAGCAACAATCGTTCTGAAATTTTGGAAAAAACTTATAATACCGAAATTGGGCGAAGTTGTNACCGAAATTGGACGAAGTTGTCTTTTCTACACAAAATTTTGGGCATGATAAATCTGGTGAAACAAATTGAAGGAAATATGGTGTACATTTTTTGGGGTATTTTTACTTTCTTACAGGATTGGCTGAAACGTTTGTAGGCCAACACACAGATGGGGCTACTAGTATTGAATTCATATGATTTTAGTTGACTCTAACCTTCAAAAGACACTACAAATTGCATAGCTATCGGACTATTAGTTTGTGAGATAAAAATTGAATAATTTCAGCAATATTTGAATAAGTATTTACTGAGATATTCCAGTTTAAATTAGACCTATAAAAACGGACAAAACTTTTGGAACAGCCCAGTAGTTAATCAAGTATTCTGCCGCTTCTATGGATATCGTTTTCGTAAGGAAAAACTTCACTCCTTCGATAAATAATTCTTTTAATAGCTACCAGGATTTGTATTATACGATATGGAAATTGCGAAATAATTTTGGCTTTAGACAAGTGGGAACCTTAGGAGTTTTAAATTCTTGAAAGAAGCACCGATTCACATAATTGTTTGTTGAAAATCATTAGTGAATGAAGTTGCATTCGTTCTGTTCGGGGTTGTTGGTAATGAAATATAATTTATCATTCTTTGATTCAAAATTGTGAAATTGTTTGCAAACTTTGATTTGTGAAGCAAACAAATGTGATCGACACACAGTATTCGACCGAAGTGATACTCTAATAGTTATGACTAAATAACAAACCGATTGACTGACTCTTTACCTTCAATATGGTACCTGTTCCATTGGCATTATTGGCTCTGGCGAAACTCTCTAACCTCCCCTTGTCGCATTTGAAACAATATAAACTCCAATCTGGTTCTCCAGTCACACAAATAATGGATTTTGAATCGAATGTGAAATCGACACTCACATATCTGTTCGTTATAATATCTTTATCGACAGGTAGTGTCAGAGTCTTCTTTTTCTTGAATAATACCGGGCACCATAGAGTGACAATTGGATATTTATCAGTAGTTTCAACAACTGCTATCAGTTTCCTAGAACAATGAAATAGAAAAGGTCATTTCGAAATTGAATTTTACCGCGCTGTACAGCATGTTGTATGTATAGTGGACTGTTTAATTCGAATTTCGCGGGCAACGTACTTTCGATTAGGGATTTTTTATTTTTTCGTGTTGGTACACTCGTTTCGAATATATGTTCACAGTTAGCGTGTTTATTTGTTGGTGAGAGGCATAAATGTTAGGAGTGGATCCAAGAATTTTGATAAAATTTTGTGTAAAAAATGGAATAGGTTGCTCAAAAAACAATTGAAATATTGACAGTGGCATAAAGTGATTATACTCTGAGTCAAAAAAATGAAATGTTCACAAATGGTAGGGGAAGGTGAGGTATAATGATCCCCTTAAGGGAAAAACGTAACTGTGGCTGAAGTTGAAGGCAAAATCGCAAGAATTCTATTGTTGGAGGTAGTGAATTTATTCAACTTTGTAACTCCACACTTATTTTTTACTATATGTATGTAGTTTTCTTGTATTAGAGGTTTTTGTTAAAGTTTAGTAAAGGATAATTTTATACATACCTATGTATAAAATGATTCCTGAGGTACGCGTGAAATAATCCCAGGGATCATTTTATATCAAAAGTTAATAAACATTAATGAAATAAAAAACTCAGCTGTTTATTTTAATCATGTATTGTTCATAACAATTTAAGTAAGTTACACAAAACTTTTGCTGTCTTCTAGTGTCATTAGAGATCTTTTTTTTGTAATTATCTACTACTCAATTAACAAAACTAAACAATAAAACATTGCAACAAACTTTTGAAAGGTTTGCAAAATTAACAACATACCTAGTCAAGCAATAGGTAATCAAATAAACTCTTCTTCTAAATAAGAAAAAACAAAAATAATACTCATCCCTATCAAAGGTTCTTATCAATGTCTGAATGCAACAGAGAAATCAACTCTTCGTTCAAAAAATAATAATGTTCTTATCAGGAAAGAAATGAAAAAAGACCTTCAGCCCTAATTTTTTTTCAAACTTTCAAATTGATTACTAGATAGGCAAATATCGCAAGTAAAGTCGCCTTCATCGTCACTATCTACTCCCGCACAAGCCTCATGTCCCCATTTAAGACATACAACGCACCTAATCCACCCTTTGCCTTTACTGTCTTTGGAATAGCTTTCAGTACAGAAGAAGCATTCGGTATCACTCTCCTCTTCAGAAGAATCTGATCTGTTTTGGTTTTTTTGCCTTTTCCCTTTACTTTTCCTTTCCCGCCTCCCTTTCCTCTATCGTTCTGTTTGTTGGTCACCGTAGTTTTCATTTCATTCTTTTCCCTGAAGGTTTTTTTTCTTCTATATCTGTTTTCTTTTTGGCTTCCTCTTCAAGGTATTTTTGTAGGGTGTGCTGGTCAATACTGATTTGTCTACTCTTATTCGTCTTGCACTCGCTCTTTTTCCAACTATCTTTGGTGTTGGTCGTACTTCTCGAGGTGTAATAACACCAAAAGATGTGGATGGAAGACCAGCAGCCAAAGCTGGAGGTTATCTTTCGGAAAATTCAGACGTTGAGATATTTTTTGGGAAAGACGCTTGCCGCGATGACTGAGAAGCTTGTGGAGATGTTTGAGTCACCATTGGAGTCGAAATTTGAAGTGGAGACAGCTGAGGTGTTAAATGGAGGGATTCTTGTACATCCATTTGCACGGTTTCTGCTAATGGAGGATTGGACGTCTCAAGGATCGGAATGGGAGGTTTTACCGTGTCATTGTCAACATCCATTTCAGTCGTTTCAGCTGCAATGAAGTCCACATTAGTGAAAATGTCAAGGTTGAACGGATATATTCCTGTTTTGTTGAATCCATTCATACTATTCAGTGGAACTGCTGCTTTTAGATATCAATCAATCAATCAAACTGTACTTTATTGTCCAAGAATAATTATTCTTATTGACAAAGTGAATAAATAACAATGAAGTGGATATCCACTGTGTCCAATACATATGAGACAAAAAATATGAAAATATAAAATGTAAAGATGAATAATTATTTATATACACATATATACACATATATATACACA